GCCCTAGCAGAAGACCCTACACCATTTCTGACAGGTGGCAGTCCAGTCTCTTCTTAAAAACCTCCAGTGATGGAATACCCACAACTTCTGAAGACAAGCTGTTCCATTGGTTGATTGTTCTCCTTATTTCTAGGTTGAATCTCTCCTTGATCAGTTTCCATCCGTTATTCTTTGTCTGGCCTTTAGCTGCTTTGGAAAATAGGGTGACCCCCTCCTCTCTGTGGAAGCCCCTTAAATATTGGATCACTGCTATCCTGTCTCCCCTGGTCCTTCTCTTCACTGGATTAGCCATGCCCAGTTCCTGCAACTGTTCCTCATACATTTTAGCCTCCAGTCCCCTAATCATCTTTGTTGCTCTTCTCTGCACTTTTTCCTAGAGTCTAAACATCTTTTTTATAGTGTGGAGACCAAAACTGGGTGCAGTATTCTAGGTGTGGTCTTACTAAGGCTTTATAGAGCGATGTTAGTACCTCACGTGATCTTGATTGAATCCCTCTGTTAATGCAACCTAGGATTGCATTGGCTTTTTTGGCTGCCGTCGCACACTGTTGGCTCATGTTTAATTGATTGTCCACTAAGACTCCAAGATCCCTCTTATTTACTGATCTACCATGTTACTAAGTTAACTGTAGTGATTCACTTAACAACTGTGGCAAGAAAGGTCATAAAATGGGACAAAACTCACTTAACTGTCTTGCCAAGCAATGGAAATTTTGGGCTCAATTCTGGTCGTAAGTCGAGGACTACCTATAATGGGAAATACCAAGAGTTTAATGATTATCCTGAGCATAAATCAAATTATTCTCTAATACAGGGGTCTCCAAATTTGGCAACTTTAAGACTTGTGGGCTTCACCTTGCTGGTTGAGGAATTGAAGTCCACACATCTTAAAGTGGCCAAGTCAGACCCTGCACTAAGCCAGGGGGGTTGCAATACATGATCTCTGATGTCCCTTCCAATTTTATGATTTTTGGAAGTTGGAAAAGCAAACTGCTTTCAAACATAAAACACTGGCAGCGACATGGTTACGAACTCCAACATGTTAATATCAGAAGCTGCACCGTGTCTCTGTCATTGACTAAGTTTACACAGGCGAGATTTCTCTCTACAACCAGTTTTACTGGCTTCCCTTTGGGGAAGCGGAAAAAAGAGACGGCAGGAACAATTTAGCTCAAAATCAGTTAAGGAAGAAGGGCTTCGACACACACAGCCAGATCGTGTGAGAAAACAGCACAGCAGATGTGACTAAGGTGTGAGGCTACTACAAGGCAATTTAGGTGGGGCTGCATTTGGAAACTAAGTGGAAAATGCAACGGATGCTAAATGTCACGCTCTCTTTCTCTTTCTCCACCAGGCTCATGTAAGAGGCTTTGAAGTGTCAGTCAACATGCTGACAGTTACCTAGGAACCCTTCTGTTACTTAGCACTTAAGTACAACAGGTCATTTAGTGACAGTTCGAAGTTACAATGGCACTGAAAAAAGGGACTTACAGTTGCAAGAAAAAGTATCTGAACCCCTTGGGATAACGCGGAGTTTTGCATGAATTGGTCATAAAATGTGCTCTGAACGTCATCTAAGTCACAACAATAGAAAAACACAGTCTACTGAAAATAATAATACACAAACATTACATGTTGCCATGGTTTAATTGAACATAACATGTAAACATTCACAGTGCAGGGAGGAAAAAGTATGTGAACCGTTGGACTTCATAACTGGTTGACCCTCCTTTGGCAGCAATAACCTCAACCAAATGTTTCCTGTAGTTGCAGATCAGACCTGCACAACGATCTGGAGTAATTTTGGACCA